TCAATCAGTCAGTTAGTCAATGAATCCGTCAGTCAGTCAATCAGACCGTCAGTCAGTCAGTCGGTCAGTCCGTCAGTCAGTCAGTCAGTCCGTCAGTCAGTCAGTCACTTCAATCATCGCTGAACGCGATCATAGGAGAATGATGGTGTAAATGTTTTCTCTAACGGCGTTCTCTATCTTTTTCATCGTGACCAAGCCAGCGCCACAGGCTTGAGACCGGCTTGCGTTGTGCGGTTGAACTAAAATTGCTCACCAGCGTGGGAATCCAATAAACAGTCGCATAGATCACAGACAACCAGACTTCTACGATCATTAGCTTTGAATGTTGACTCTGTGTTCCTTTCATCAGTGAATTTTATTGTCTAAGCATCGGTGCCAAACGCTCTGGAGCAGTTTTGGGCGAGGTCGTCATGGAGGGAAATGTAGTAGTGTTTGATCGAGCCAATCAGCGGATCGGATTTGCGCCCAGCAATATGTCACACCCGGATGTTGGACCATGCGGTAAGAAATCACCGAAAACGACCGGTAAAGGCTTCTTTGAAGCTTACGTGTTAGAGCTTGTTAAATACTATCCCATGATGTGTTATGATATAAACAAGCTTTGAAAAAGAGAATAAAATAAAAACAAAGAATCGATATCCTGGAACGGAAGAGTAACAATATATTTTATGCTGTACATTCGATTCTCTGCCTCTCAACACGTACCCATCCATACCACCCTTTGACTTAAATTAGTTTTCGTGTTTGGTTCTCTTCCCCTTTTAACGCGAATGTCATTTTCATGTTTCAGGCAATCCTATCCGTGTAAACAATACAGTTAAAGGTAACTTTTATTTTCCAAGATTGTACCGACATTAATTTTAGTAGTTTCTTCGCTGCATCGCTGATTTGCGTTTCCTTAAGTGTTGAACGCTTCAAACCGAGCTGATTCTATATTTTTTTTATCGTACCAGACCATTTTAACAAATTAGCATCGTGAGGCATTTATCATCTCTCTACTGCTAAACAAACCATATCTCAAGTCATTCAAACGGAACGGCTTAAAATCACCGACGTACATCATCAGCCAAATGAGTTCATTTGAAATCATTGCTAAGTCGTTAACACGTTTCATGTAGTCAAAATTTTAAGAAAATAGAAATATTTTACACTGTCATAATGAAAACCTGACGATGGATCACCGGGCATTTTGACAGCAAATTCAAATTTTAGCAGGTCGTACAACAGAATAAGGCACGCTTAATTGACCAACCACAGCGTACGTAGTAACGGAGACTGACAAAATAAAGTCCCTGTATATATATAAAAAAAATAGTTATAACTTCTATTTTCCTCTTACAGGGCGTCTTCATAAATATTGCCGTGCTCCCGACATGCCTCGGGAGACGTGTTTCATGGGCTGCAAGTCCTGCATCAAATATGGAGGCGTATGGTGTCCTAGTGGTCACGTGGTTGTGTGGA